AAGGGTTGCCTAAACACGAACTTTGTACTTTAAATACGAAATGTAAATAAATCAAATGTTTGTAACCATGGTAACCGCGGTACTCGAGCAAATGGTAAGTGATGACTAAAGGAACAGCCCGATTCTATGTACCACGATTCTGGGCATGATTTCAACTGTTGAACGGGATCTGGGACTGAGACTGGGACCCTTGAGTATGAGGAGGACATAATAGCCGTAAAAAGTGTCACAAAAACGCTGTCACGCTGTTATCTGAAGAGAGATAAGAGATTAAAGACGAGGGATGGGGTTGTGGATGGGTATGGGGATTGGGTTGGAAATGGTTGAATGGGAATTATTTTACTCAGCCCTGGCAGACGAAATCTTGGGCAACGCCGTGTCGGGACAGATTGTACTAAATATGTACCAATCTACGTTTTTTGCATTCTTTCACTGCGTGATATCATTAATTCTATTGTTATTTGAAGTTGATTTTTTTTTAATGAGTGACAACATTATTTTTGTCGTAGGAACGTAAGCGTTATGTTAACTTGTTATGTTTACCAGTTTTATGAAAAATGTAAATTTAGTATACTTGGCCGAAAGTTTATGTTTGTTTTCCTACTTCCGATCTAGTAAATTTAGCACTTGTTATAATAGGAATATAGTGGGAAAACTATAGCAGGAAAACAAACTTCGACTTCTGGCCAAGTAAACTAAATTTGGATTTTTTCATGACTTGTTTTATTATGTAGACAGATTTTTATTTGTTGGCAACGATGTATAAAACATATATTACATTGTGGTATTCACTTAGTTCCTATATTATATCACGTTTTTTAAGGCTCATGTTGAAACACTTATTTTTTTTTTTTACTTAGCGAACATTTACACTGAGTTAACGAAGTTTTCTCGTTGGAAGATCAGTATTTTTTTTTATACATATTTGTAGAAGTAGAAATGATACAGAGCACTCATTATTACAGAATATAGAATTGCGAAAATGAGAACATTTTATTTGTTTATTTTTTATTTTATAATATTATCTTTATGAGTGACAACTTGTATGTAGTATTTGGAATCAGTGGCGACACGTGGTGATTACTGATTTCACACAGGAGTGCGATAACAACTTAGAAAACCATAACCCAAAATGATAAATAATCTATTTATTTCAGGAAATACATAAATAAATATGAAACAAAAATAAAATATGAAATCACTATCAATCTGACTTCTTATGTCAACAGTTCTTAACACTTTGAAATTTTGCTTCATTCTATAGATGTTTAATCGAATTTTTATGTTTATTTATTTTGACTAAAAGATGTATGTAATATTTTTCACCAGTTTTACTCCAAGATGTCTACTGATATTTCATATGATCATTTCTGTTCAGCCGTTCACTTACAAAAATGTGGCAAAATGTATGGTAAATTATTTATTATGTGGTATGGCATTAATAAAAAGTGTAAGCAATGTAATATCAGATTTAAAACTGCTTTAAAAGAAAAAACCGCTTTAAAGTTTGGAAACGTTGCCAATTTTTTTATATATACACAAGGAATGAAACATAACCAAAAAATTAAAATCAAATGCCCTTAAGAAAATAACACAATATTTTGTACTTAAATATGTTTCAACCTTAATCGATATTTTGGCCTCTCCGGTGATTTGAATTCTCGAGACAAGAAGTTCCAATTTCTCTTTTCACCTCTCATATTATTTGCACTAATCAATAAATACACAAAAAAAATCAAAGATTTATAAATAACCATTTAAAACTATTAGCTCTGATGCGGAGCTGTTAGTGCAGTGATTTTACAAAAATGCAGGTCTTTGACTTAACAATTTACATATTCTTCAATTTTTTTAACTTTTTGGTAAAAAGTCAATTTAGTCCAAACTATTGTGAAATATTCTTTTGATAAGACTACCGGTATGCAGTTGTTAAAAACAAAACAAAATAAAAAAAACTACACAGTGTCTCTCAGCACAGTCCAAATCAAGTACATTATAAATTAGCACAGTAGAAGTTGGCAAGTCTGGGTCACACATTTTTAAATCTGAATGTGATTTTATCATAATCAAGCGCTTCGATGCGAATCTAGAAATAGTAAGAATTTGGCACAGTTTAAACCACCGCGTTCTAAACTAAGCACAACCAAAGCCAGCACAGTCTGAATCAAGCATAGGATAAACCAGTGCAGTTTAAACCAACTTTTAGGGGAGAAGTGGGATGGAATTTTTGGTCTGAGAATAATTTTTATAAGCGTCATGTCTAATAAATGTTTGATAAAAATGTCCACTCGACTAGACAATTTTCACGAATTTGGTACCAAGGTACTTGAACTCTTGTATTTGGTTAAAGGTATTATCTACTTTAAGTAGGTTATTACGATCATAATGTTTATTGTTTTGTCGGAAATATCAATAATTCTTTATAACCCATAAGGACCCCGGAAGCGAAAATTACAATCACAAATTTTGCTCTCACATATTATTGAGATTATTTAAAAGTCATTTTTAAACAAGTTTAATTATTGTTGTACTGAAGTTAATACATTAATAAATAAAAGGAAACAGTGTATAAGTTATTAAACACTATAATTACAAACATGAAACAGTGAAAAATGACTAAGGTAAAATGTCATACGTCTCGTAGAATGATTTAATTACCAGCTATCTTATAATTATTCATTTCGTTCCCAGTTATGGTTAGGCTATTTTTAACGATTTGTTTTAGTTAAAATATGTCATAAAAAAAGTACTCAAAACTAAACATCCCAGTCATTTACACGAATTTTTCATAGTTAATACACATTTTAATGAGAAAGGAATGACAAGAGAGTTTTTACACAATATTCAATAAGGTTTTGGTTATCTCAAAAAAATATTCAAACATTTATGGTTATCAAAAAAATACTTGCATAGTACACTTAAGTATCTTACGTACCTACCATTCTGCATGCGATTTACTACAGACTGTGTACCTAAAGTTTTTCCACTCAAAATCACCGTAGTTAAACCTTTTGGAGAACGACATTTTAGGACATTTCGCTACTAATAGTATCGCTGTTACAGTGATTTTCGTTGTAGTACACGCCCACTCCGTAATGGTAATGTAAAATGCACATCATGGCAACGACAACCGCTATGACGATGAACATGGACAAACACGAATTCATCAAAATCAATATTTTTTCCCTTTGCGCCGTACAGTTGCAAATATGTTGTGCCCTTTCCGATAAACTCTTGGCAGTCGCGTGAACCGTCGTCGCAGGTGTATTGCTGTCCCACTGAAATTCATAAAGCATTCCCGTTGTATCCGGACGACGATAGGAGATCAAAATAATATAGTCTGGTCCGTGTGCTAAGGTTTTCTTTTTTATCTAGCTCGTCTCCGTGAAACATAGCTAGGAGAATTTATATACGGAGTGGAATGGTGAAGGAGAGTATACTTACATTATTTTCGGGCTGTATACTCACTTGAGTACTACTAATCGCATCGTGTTCTATCGTGTTTGACAACACTGTAGTTAAACGTCCATTAAGTTGGTTCTCTGCTTCTTTCAGGAAAAAAGCGGCAAAAAAATTAACGCACAACGAAAGGATAAGAATGAAACTGACACGGATAGCCATGGTTTGATAATTCAATACAGTCGATTGTTGAAAAATCCCACTTTCATTAGAATATATATAGTTTTCTTATTATCAAATAACATATGTATATTGGTAACCAAGCATGTGTTGTGTAAACATTTTCAAGTAACTAATAATCAAACAATAACCTAGAGTCAGTGACTATCATTGTCCTCACAAAATATGAGCTGCTCCGATAGCTTGCAGTGACGCAGTTAACTAGTGCCTAGACATTAATTTTCAAATTCAGATAACGTACAATGGACAAACTGTAACTCCGTGTTCTGTAGAGGTTTTAAATGTATCTTCATCTATGACGGACGTGTCTTTTTAATAACGTTTGCTTTACTGTAGTGTCTGGTTTCTGTGCTGGTTTCTTACTGCTCACAGATTCGCATCCCTGCGTTAGATTGTGGTGAAACTACTTTCAGGTTTAATAACGGTCTCTATCCTCTTTTTCTTACTTCGTATTGTATTGATTTTTACTGTGCTGATTGATGCTATTATACTAGGCTATTATGTCGCCTGGACAACCTATTCAGTTCGAGACTACTCTCAATGTATATAAGAGTCCAAGTACTCAACACGATGATACCGTCGATTGTACTGTGATAGTAATTTACTTAAATTATTTTAGTCCGGGTGTACATGTATAAGGTTGTAAAATAAAATGCCATAATGCCACATTTTAATTGATATCAAGTTGTTAATACATAATAATTGTTTTAAACAAAACGAATTCACGAATTTGTCGGAAACACAAAATATTATTTTTGATCAATCTACACTGTAACTCGGTATTTCGGTGCTTTAATGCTTTCGCCAGTATGCAAGTGCCAACCTAGCAAATTAATTTGACTATCCTTACATATATTGTTATAACCTTTTATATCCTGCAAATTGATGTATCTGCATGAAGTGCATAACTTTTGTTTTAGTATGACCCTCCATAGTCTATATCTATTATCTCTAATATATTATATAAATATATATATATATATATATATATATATATATATATGTGTGTTCGTGTGATTATTTCTACGCATATTATATCAGATTTTATTGTTACACTATTGTTAACGGAGAACATAATTCTTAGATCGTAGGTGACCTAAATATTGTTGTTATTGTTGACTAACTGCGAATTTGTACAAAATAGCATGATCAAACATGGTAACGATAACATGTACAAATGCTGATTACGAAAATATGTTTGTAGTTTAGGCGAGAATGAGTGTGAATCTGTTTTAAAATATTATACGTGTACATTTTGTTCAGACCACTCGTTTATAATTTGAGTGTACTATTGAATTTCAAAACCTTTTTTTTGTCATAATGAAATTTCAACTAGTGTTTATTTCTTTGACACTAAAAATCTTTTTTCATTTATCTACGGAGGTTAGTGTATATGACGATGGTTTTGGAAAGAAAATGCGTCAAGAAATGATTAGTAAGGTTGCACTAAGACCAACTGCCACTGAAATAACCGTCGCGCTGTCGGAATCAGACGTTTTTCGAGATATTCAAGTAAACAATAATTTATTGTGTTGTAAATTATAATAATTTAATATTCTATTCCTCAGACTAGGCACGAGGTTAGTGACAGTTGTCGCGTAACTTTGGTCATCTTTTGGTTTTTGGGTTTTGAACATTATTGTAACTCGCATATACCACGTGATTATTTTATCGAAAAAGTCAGCTTTATCTGATTTCTGATATTAAAACATTATTTAAGTAATCTTTATACAGTGATATGTTCCATACTCTCAAATGAAATACTGCCAGATTAAGTTAACTACGATTTGGTAAGATAAGGTTATTTCACTCCATTAGTCACGCCGTATCGCATAGATACACAAGATACACAGAATAATAATATTTATAAAAATACCAGATGTAAGCACAGGGACTATACATTCTTCTTAGAACTATTCTCTCAAATACAATTTAACAGCTTTCCTCTGATTATCTAAAGGGCCATGTCTCAAAGGCACATAAAATAATTGGATGTATCAATGTCATATAAATCTGTACTATAAGATTTCTTTATATGGATATCCTGAGCATAGTATTTATCCAAGGACAAAATACCACTTAAAGGCCTTTTGTATCCTGTTAATCTTTTCCATTTTTAGGCCATTGACTTATATTAAAAGGTGACTTAACTATTTTAAATATGGCTCCGTTTTGAATGTGTGTCCTTCGACGTTCATAAAATGTCCCCGTTGATATTCCTTCTCCAATCGACTTATTATCATTTCATCAGTTTTTCATCATTCTTACACAATTCGACCTTTTCCGCTGTAATTTCCATTATACGTTGTTTTACAAATCTGATCTACCTCTACTAGGGTATTTCCTAATAAAGCTATGTCTTTGGCATAAGGGACAAGATTTATCCTTGAGTTTCTTAACGTTGTTCCATATACTACATTAATTTCTCTGATACTAAATTAAATAAAAATGGGATAAGTTCATCTCCTTGCATTAGGCCCGTGCTAACATTAACTGGGTCTGAAGTTTTGATGCTGCCTTTACAGTGAGTTACATTAATCAATTTGGTCATTTTCAGTTATTATTAACATGTAGAACAATACTCAAATCTACATTTTTGGTACTTTATGTTTTTAGGTTGAACATTTACAACCATTCTTCTATGGGGGACAGTATTCGGTTGATTTTATTCAGCTATTGAATACATACAAGACATTGAGCTCCGATCCCATTGAATTGAGCAGCGACGAAATAGCAATACTGACCTCAAATTATAACGACGATTCAAAAACCAATAGAATTCTTACTCAATTTAAATTCTGCCGCAAAATGCAAGAAATACAGTGCACGAATATCTTACTTTTGAAGTTTAGTTTACCGAAAGTCAAAAGTTCTTTAAAAGTTATTGCTGACTACGTGTACAATATGATAGAAATGTCATACAGAGGGAAATTTTTAGTGAGTGAATGGCTTTGGAAACTGCATATACAGCTACAGTTTGGTAAAACAAAATTGCTAAAAGAACGCTTACCGGAGATTAACGAAACCCTACAGAAATTGATAACGGTGTGTCATAAAAACAAATACTTAATGAAACGGTATGATTACATTTTAAATTACTTCAACGAGGAATCTGGTAAATTTTTAATGTCTAATACATTTTTAAAAATGTATGACGACAAATTTCAAAGTTTCGTCAAGGACAAGGAACACTTTACATCGGATGTTGAAGACTTGTTGGTGAAGTCTATGTGGGAGTATTCAGAAGTTATTTTCAACGAAATCTTCGGCCTCACCTTTAGATGGAATAATATATATTACGATATATTCGAAAAAGAAATGAAAAATATCAAAAATCAATACGATAAGTTTGAATGGACAGCAGAACCTTTTAAACATAAGAAATATCAAGAAATAATTTTGGACGTCTTAAAGGCAAAATTTTACGGTTATATTTGGGTATATTTAGTTTGTTATCAAAAGATAGTCGCATCCACACTGCCGCGCAAATTTTGGCCAACAAAAAATAAATTAAACGACATAGTGGCAATGCGGACCAAGCTTCGACGCCAGTATGAAAGTTTTATATATGATGTAAATAAAGTATTATATTATGCTTATATTGATGACCAATTCTTTAACGAAGTGCTAATTTTATTGAGTGGAATATATGAACCCGATGACAAGAAGATAACTCAAACTGTGGAAAAATTAGCAACAGAAGTAAACCGCATACTGGATACCTATAATAAACCAAAAAATAGTTACAGAATGCCCAAAATTGATTATAAATTAATCGAACAAACATATAAAATAGATTCCAAATCTTTTAAATATTATGGAACAGAGTTTGTAAGTCTCTTTGAGGATATTGAAAAAAGACAGTTACATATCAAATTAAATATTCTATTGTTTTATACAAATGTAAACAGAACCGTCGACTTTGTGATCCCGAATAAATAACAAAGACACTTTAATATTCGTTAAATAATAAAACTCGTTTGATTATAAAATATATTAACATTTTACTAAAAATAATATTCAATAAACTAAAAAAATTAATATTGTACATTTCTAAAAAAATATTTTTTGATTTGACTACTTTTATTTGGGTTCATAATAATAAACTATGTTGTATTGTATTAATCATTTTTAATAAATTATAAAAAATTAAATAAAACTTTATCAAATATCGATTTCTTATACTGATAATTTTGATATTTTCGGTAGTCATACGTCTAAATGATAAAAAACAAATGTTCAAAAAAAAAAAAATCTTTTCAACTATATAAATCATGAACGTGGAAATCTACTTCAATGGATATATTGATTTATTGTTAAGGCTACTTGATGTTACATAAATATTTTTACATAGTTCGAAAATAAAAAGAGTATTACATAAATATTACAAAAATTGCAAAATAAATTTAAACAAATAATAATAGTAGTAATTATCGAAACACAACATCGGGAAAAATAACAAAAAAAACCTATACGAATTTCCGGTGTTAAGGGACATGCAGTCTGTTTTATTATTATTTAGACCAAAAAGCCAGAAAAATGTCGACCACTTTTGGTGGTCCGATATTAATTCTATACAAATATACGAGTTCTTTGGCTACTACACTAGGTTTTATAGCAAACAGATTTTTATGTAAACAATTTCAATTTAAAATTTCCAAATTATTTTTTTATTTCACAATTAACTGAAATTTTTAACTGAAAATCGCAAACAACATCGTAAAGTAGCCAACGTTCAAAGAATTCGAATTGGTTTTGGGTTTGCTGAATTGATCATAACACCAACGCAGAACATCTTCATGGATTATTTGTTGACCTTGTATGATTTTCGAGTCATTTTAATACGGTTAAACCATTTAACTTTATTTCCGTTTTTGTTGAACGTAAATAATTTTTCTGTATTCTAAAGGTCGAGAACGATTGTTTAGAAGTGGCTGTAGTAACCGGAATCGTGGAGAAAATTTGCAACAGAATTTTTATATTGGGAAAAAATCACCACAGTGTGCTAATGCCTCAACAGCAGTTTGTGGGACATCAGGTTCAACGTTGTTCCATTTATTTTTCCATAAATTTATAGATAATAAAGAATCGATAGGTACAAAAAATGGTTAACACGGGGCAAGGGGGGGGGGTGCATCGGCACTCTAGCATCCGCCCCTGGTCAGCACTGTGACAATAAACGTGACGGATATATTTTCAGAATAACACCCAGCCATAAGACATAATTATGTCTTATGGCTGGGTGTTATTAAATTATAATAAATATACTGACTAAATTAAATCAGAACGGTGGTTATTTAAACTGTCGGTAAGTATTATAAGTTCTAACCGTACTCATGATAGTGGCCGTCTATTAGTTAAATATTATTTTAGATCCACTGTTTGTCATGTGGATTATTATTACTATAAGTTAACATGAGATACTCTGCAATTGTTATTTTGGAGCTAGTAGTTCTGAGTACAGCCTATCCATAAAATCGATTATGAGTTTTATATCGAGTTGATCTTTCATCGTCATCGTCTTAACCACTAACCATCGTAGATAAATAGAAAACGAACTGCAGTGTTAACAATTTAAATCTTAATTGAAGTTTTATAAAAAATATCAATAAGTTCTTAAAATTCGACAGTACTCTCAAGTTTTAATTTATTATATATTAAAAAAAAATTCGCAATCATCATCGCCTAATATGACTTTGGATTCTGGCTAGTGTTAACACTTGCGTTCAGAATATTGACTCGTTTATTATAAAGTTATTATAAAGTAAAAAATGTTCGAATAGATTATATGAATTTTATTATTAGTGGTATTTTCTTAAATAATTGCGTATTTATTTTCTTACACCAGAACGTATTAAAATCACGTTGTAATTTATTTTTCTTGTGTTTTAAAAAATATTTATCAAAATAGGGAAAAAACACCTTTTGTTGTATTGTTGTGTATTGACTTATTCAAACAGTCACCAGTAGGTCATACCTAAATGCGTGCAATAAACAAAATAATTTATAACAAAAAACAACATGTTTTAGCGCAAATGTTACAATTGTGGTGTAAAGTATAAAATTCAACGATATATTACAAACAGAATTTAAATGTTTACAATATTTTTTCTATAAAATACGATCTAATACAAAAACAAATAATATATATCGGTACCGTTTCCACTGTTTTTTTTTTCAATATTCGTATAAGTTCCTTTGAAAATATTATACGGTTTTAATGTTGCTGTTAAAACCTTTTAACGTTTAACCTGGGGTTATTTAAATTTACGCAAAACACAGGTGGTATTCTGCGCCAAATCAAACACCGTAATTTGAATTTTTCATCACGTTGTAACCAACAAAAAAAAAAAAATACTGTAGAGTCTGTACTAGTATAATATGTTCTTAAATTGAAATTTTTTTTCCATGTAGTTGTATACAGTTTAGAAAAATATTTTCGAGGCATGCGGTATGCCTAATGAATGTTCGATAAAAATGTCCATTCGATGGAACATTTAAACGAATTTCTAGCTAAAAAAAATTGTAAGATGAAATCCTGTTTTAGGGGGGAGTTGGTCTCTACTTTTAAGAGTGACGAAGTAGAAGGGTAGAACTTTTTCTAATTTTATATCCTCCGCCCCAAAACGCTAACTAAACAAAATAATTGATGATTGGTAGACTAGATGATAAAGTAAATCAATCCATATTCTGTTAAAGGTCTTAAAATTGCGGCTAAAAAACTAAAAAAACTTGAACCCCTTCTAGGGGGGTGGGAAATGGGTTTAATTTAAATTTGATACAACTCACGTGCGCGGGCATACCAAATAAATATTTCTTATAAATTTCAACTCGATCCGACTCTTTTTCTCGAAATTATTTATTTATATATATTTACGGGCAAAGCCCTTTACAACAATTTAATACAGGACAATACAAATTCAGATACTATATAAATTTAAACATGATAATAATTCAATAATAGTAATAATAATAATAACAGGTAATATAAATTAGTAATAGTAAAGTGGACAAAAAAATAATATTAAAATAATATATTATGGTAAATGGTACTCTCATTGACCTGCCGCATCATGCGATCAATAGGATTATTTTTGCCATAATTTGTAGTGTGCGTAGAAACTAAGAATGGGACATGGTGTCGAATAGTGCGGAAAGGGACCTTGAAATTGACCAATACAAGAAGTGAGGGAGCATCAAAGCGACCATCCACAAGTTTTTTCAAAAACTCTACGTTGGTGTTAACTCTCCTGTCTGCTAATGAGACGAGACCTAATTCCTGCATAACTATAGAGTAGTCGTGGGGAGGATGTTTTATTTTTAATGTAAAAGCTGCGCAAGATAGGAATCGTCTCTGAACACGTTCTAATTGACAGGAGTCCGCTAACGTATAAGGGTCCCATAGGACAGATGCATAATCTAATAAGGAACGGACCAAGGAGCAATAGATTGTTTTCAGAGAAGAATATAAATTAAACTCTTTCGAAATACGTATTACGAACCCAAGCGTTTTTATAGCTTTGCAACATAACATTTCAATATGAGAGTGAAAATTCAGGTCAGTATTAAAAATAATACCTAAATCTTTCTAACAACTGACAGATGTCACATTAGAACCGTTGATTGCATACGTATAACTGATAGAGGAGCGGTGTTTAAAAAATGACATGGAATGACATTTATTCACATTAAACTGCAAACCAATAGTATTAAACCATGCAACCATGTTGTTTAGGTCCTCCTGGAGCGCAGAGCAGTCAGATAAGTTTTCAATTTTCCTAAAAAGTTTTAAGTCATCAGCAAACATGAGAAATTCACAATTTTTGATAACCCCTTTGATGCCATTTACATACAGTGAAAACAAGATCGGGGATAGATGTCCTCCCTGAGGAACTCCAGAAGAGACTTTAGAGATGGAAGATTTACAGCCGAATACTTTAACCCATTGAACTCGGTCGGATAGATAGGACTTGAACCACGACAGCAGTGGTTCGCCAAACCCGGACTTGTATAGAGCATCAATTAGGTAGCCATGGTCAACTCTATCAAAGGCTTTTGCAAAGTCTGTGTAAATAACGTCTACTTGGATGTGCTTTTCAACAGCCTCCATAACAAAGTTGTTAAATACCATTAAATTCATAGTGGCCGAGCGACCAGGTCTGAACCCATACTGCTCGTCGATTAGAATTGAATTGACAGAAGATTGAATATTTCTCAATACCAGTTGTTCGAAAAGTTTGGATATGTGGCACAAAATTGAAACTGGTCTATAATTTTTGACATCGTTTTTATCACCCGATTTAAATATAGGAGTGACAGAGCTAATCTTAAGGATAGATGGGAAAACTCCACAATCAATGGAACGCCTAAAAAGTAGCCACAGTGGAAAACATAGTGAAGATTTAATATTGTACAAGAAAATACCTGATAAGCCATCTGGGCCTACTGACTTTACATTTTTTAGGGCATCTAGGCCATCATCAATATCATCGATGCTGAATGAGCAAGTGCTAGGCAGGTCATGGCACAGGAATGAAGATGGAGAGTCAATAGATAATGGTGGAACATAGACTGAATTAAAGTATTGGGAAAATAAATTCGAAACTGACTCATTGCCCGAACTTTTTATGTTCTCAAAATGCACAGTCTGGGGAATCTCATTGCTTGACTTATGAACTCGGATAAAATCCCAAAACGACCTAGGATTAGATTTTAGCATAGACTCAGTACGAGACAAGAAGGCAGTATGGCATTTCTTATACTCAGCCTTGTAAGAAGCTCGAAGTGTAGAGAATTCTGCATAGTCAAGGGGGCAGTGTGAAGTTTTAAACTTTGCATGCGCTCGTTTCTTACTAAAAACAATATGTTTAAGATTACTAGAAAACCATTTCGGAAATGTGGAAGGTACGTAAGACCCTTCTGGAACAAAGTTTAAAATGCAAAAGTGCAAAGCATCATAAAGTGCATTTGCTGCCTTATCGACATCTAGAGACATTATGGTCTCTAACCAATTAAATGAATCTAGAAATTTACAAATTTCTGTATAGGGAGCATGGCGGAAGTCGAAATAATTATGGGAGCGATCTAATATAGGGGAAACATTATCCAATTTTACCATAATATCAAGAGCCGGGTGGTAAGAATCGCAAGGCACCGCGGAGTTTTCAGCTTATAAAACATAGATTCTTTTGTCGTTGGAAAGCACTAGGTCCAAGATACCACCAAAAGAGTTAAGAATGCCATTGAGCTGGAAGAAGTTATAAAAAGCAAATGCTTCAGGGATACATTGTATTCTAGGATTTGAAATAGAGTTGTATAATAAACCAAAATCGTCATTGGACCATTTTACATCTGGCAAATTGAAGTCACCGCAAAATATGAAAACACAATCTGGGTGAAGGAGAAGAACGGATTGCACAGTGGACATAAAAGCCTCGTAAGCCGAAATCAGGCAATTAGGAGGAAAGTAAACAGAGCACACAACATAGTTGGTATGATTATAACTAAATTTAACAAAGACATGTTCGACATTAATCGCAGGATTACAAATTAAATTAGATACGACATCATTGCGGATGGCGATGAGAGCACCACCACCTCTTGAAAAACTACTTGTTAAGCTAGATCTGTCACATCTATATACAATATAGTTAATTAGACCTAGTTCATTGTCAGAGAAGCTATTACAGAGCCATGTTTCGGTGAAACAAATAAAAATATAGTCAAAAACAGCAACATTACATTTTAAAATACTTAATTTGGTTCTTAGACCCCGACAATTTTGGTAATAACCTAAGAGAACGCGGTTACAAGTACATAAATCACTACATAGACAATAATCCTTATTGTTAAAGTTATTTCCGTGTACATCAACAGTAGGAGTAGAGATAGACGAACATGAAGATATTAGTTTTTTGGAGTGGAATTTAGAATCATCTCGGGGGTAAGACGACCCCAGAAGCGTTTGACCATTACGCCATCAGGCCAGAATGCAGGTTCGAGGACCTCATCAAGCTTCTCCGCAGGCAAGCGTACGTGGAATGAGGAGTATGATGGGTGTCTTGTTACCATTTTATTAATGGTCACTTCTGAGTAACTATTGAATAATTCAGATTCAAGCATGGTAGACGTAACGCATGGATCAAGTCTCGAGACAAAAATATCAGCATGTTTCCGCACGGGAACTGAAGACAGCTTAGAGGACGAGTTTTTATGAGAACCGACGATGAATCTTGGTTTTGAGGCCGAAGGCTGATTATTGGTCAATTGGTTTCCGGGCTGTCTAGGACGAGAATCCGCATCCAGCTTCGGGTGAACAGTAATTATTGGCAAATTTTTGGGTTCTGCATTCGATTTGGAAGCAAAGGTACCACTTGTTGACATATTGAGACGGTTCAATTTGTCATGTAATTTAGAATTACTGAGTGCCACAGGTTTGAGCTCTTCGACAACGGATTGTAGAATGGAGGCTACATTTATTGGATTTTCAGGTGAAATCGTTATCGGGTTAGAAGAAGAATTTTTTAAAAATAGTGACAAGTCTTCACTAAATTTAACACCAACAGGTAAAGATTGCGTAACAATGTAGTCAACGAGCATATTTTTTGTCCACTTATTTAGCTCTGCAGAAAGTAGATCATTATTTTGGGACATTATGCGTTTACGGTTATCGTTGGTAAAGTAGGCAATTAATCCAATATGACGCCTTGAACAATGCAGATAGGCCAAATAATTTGCACAATAAGTATGATAATAATAACAATAAATGGTGGCCTTGACACGTGCCGGATTCAATCAGAAATAGCAGTCACGGGTCGCAACTGCTTATCTGAACCGATAGAAGCCGTACTTTACTGATAAAATTTAGTTAAATTTAATATACCTTTCCGCTATGTAGTTGAAGGCAAATTAAAAAACTGACATTGGGTGAACAGGTATTAAGCAGACTGACTCAACAACGACACCAGTCTGTACACGCACTTATTATGAACTTGACGAACTTAAAAAGTAAAAAAACGGGTAATTTGATCCAAAGTTACAAAGAATAGAACACGGAGCGATATGAACGTTAGAACGTGCGATTATTATACTTATAATAAAAAAAATTATAGCCAGTAAAAGTTCTAACTTAAAAACTCGTACGGTTTTTTTTTTGGTTTTTTCAAATTTCGTCTGTGAAGAAGTAAACTTTTTCAACTTTTACCCCCCCCCCCCCCCCCCCCAAAGTACCAACTAGATGAAATTTGTGATTTATAGAATTGCTACTCGAAGGAATTGGTCCAGTATTAAAAAAGTTACAGTGTATACAGATAAAAAAAAACACACATCAGAGTAAAACCAATACCTTCTCGCTTTGCATCGAAGCTAAAACATCATTGTAAATACAATAATATTTTTTGTAGGGTTTTCTAGATTTTTAAGAAAATTCCAAAGAAAGTCCAAATTTAAAAAAAATGATATATATTCATAATCAAAATATTCATTTAATGATTTTTTTAGAGGTATTTAATCTGTTTTCCAATGTTCGATAAATGCATTGATAGCAAGTGGTAAACTAACGTAGTCCTAAACTGTAGTAGGAATATTGTAACGTATATGCATTATGATAGTTTTTGTTTTCTCTCCTCTGTAAAATTTGCTTTTTGTGATTTGTGTTATTCGACCTCTGTGGTACAAAGTTGTCACCGGCGTTGGCCACGCGAATGAATAAAGAAATTACCTTATGGGTAACCAATATTTTTTTACACCGTGAATTACTTATTATACTAGTAAATAAGAGTATTGTTAGTGAGAATATACTTTAACGAACAAATGACGTAAATAGTAAATATGCTATCTTTTGTCTTACAACGTGATTTAACGATAAATACAATCATAAGACCTTATTTGTAGGGCTAGTCAACTTAAAATATTATTATACAGAGTGATCATTTTATCGTGAACCACTTAATATCTCATCAAGTTTACTATTCCGATAAGTCATAAAAGTTTAAAAGTTAGGATGGGAGAGGCAGTGCGCGCAGATGAAAATAATACTACACTCCATCTTTCTCCTGCCCTAAACTTGAAACTTCAATAACTTTAAAAATAGTTATTAAAGTCCATGAAATATTGAGTTGTTCACGATAAAATAATCACCGTATATACAAACTATGATAGGTAAATACAATATTATGGCATATGACCGGCTCAAATTTCTTATAGTGATACGTAGATTTAATGCGCCAAAAAAAAAAAATTGTTAAGTAAACAAACCCACGAAATGATAAATATTATTTTATAAATTTTTCGGTAAAAGTTACGGTTTAATACGGTTCTATTAAATGTTCAGCTTAACATTTATTTATAAAATTGAAGTTGGATGCTATGACGGCGTCGTACATTCTTGTGTATTCAAGTGTCTACATAAAAAACCGCATATTAATTTAAGTACTATACATTTTTGTATAGGAAACTTTCAGTTTCTAACATATACCTTACTATCGGTTTACCTATCGTTTTGAAAACACGATTATATTTTATTAAAATACAGTTCTTTCCAAAGCCATAGATGATGTTGTATTTAAACACATTATTGTGGTTTATGTTTATAAGTGTGGTTTCGGCGATGTCACCGGACGATATGGAAACAAATAGAATTATGGAAGAGATGGAAAGAGTCAAAAGTCTTCACTTGGGTTTTCTGCATCCTCCTCTCATAAAAAAATTCAATAACTACGAAGCTAAGGTATATAAGGCGCAAAAAAGAACTGAATTTATTTACAAACAACTTCAGTGCAGCTACGCTTTATTCGGTGCCCGATACATGCGTTTGATCGAAGGACTTTTGGCGGACCCAAACTATAAACTGCAAGGTAACTTAACACAAATTTTGTTTGATGAAGAAGCTGCGGCTATGTTAGCCGCCTCCATGAATGTACCAGGTTTAAAAGAGGTTGAAAACCTTTTATGGACGTTTTGGTTGTACGCTGATAGATTGCATAGATTCTTAAATTCAATCACAATTTTAGACGTAACCGATGAACAGCACCGTTTAGCCATTCTTAAAGTTCACAATGTTGTTTACGACGTGTTGGATCGGTTTTTGAATGCACCTGGCTGTTTACTCTACAGCGTCGATGAAAAGTTACACCTCTTAACTAACGAGATTATTATGACAACATATGAAATTGACAATACGAAAAGCCTAGTAGAGTTACTTGCGAATAACAAATCAATGTTTAATGAACAGAAGATTATTAACAATGAATTGGGTATACTTACTATTGGCGAAAAACAATTTTCTATGAAAACATTAAGTCTGAACGGCTTACTCGGAATAAAAACCATAGCTTATCAAAGTTTAGGCGCAGACTTTTGGACGACAGTCAAGTATGGGCCTAGTTATGAGTACAACTCTGCAATGGGATTAGGCGTGAAGCTAACCGATCAGGTTAATTCACTTTTGGTTTTTCAAAAACAGTACATCGATGTACTAAAAGTCATTGCGTTACATTTGGGTAAACATTTCTTAATGGCGACGACCAATGCTGTTCGCTTAGGAAAAGACTCGTTACAAGAACGCAAAGAGAAAGTGATGGCTGAACTCACGAAACTCGAATTCCTCATAAACTTCATTAGGGAACGTTCTGACGACACCATTCATTTCATAATCTGTTGTGTTGAATCATGCATAATTGATAGACATGGAGTACCGAGAAATACAGGTGTCGAAGATTTAGAGAATAAAATAACACATGTCTTGTCAAAATCAATAACTACAAACACTTTAACCAAGTTTTCAATAAAAAAATATGAAAAGAATACAGAAGACCCTGATGAGTTTCACGCATCGATAGTAGAGCAGTTTGATTTGGTTGTGAAAAATGCTATCAAAATGTTGTCCGACATAAACTTCTCCGTAGTCAACTCGTTTATAGCATACACATCATCCGATGAGTGCCGACAAGTCACCGCATCAGAAAATATAACAACTGTCTAAAAAATTGTAAATAAAAGTTTCTATACCATATTATTATTAGGTTATTCAAACAATAATGACTTTCTGACAAAATTGTTTTCGTCGGACATGCCAACGATTAAAGTTAACATAGCTAATCATAAAAACTTGTTTACCATAATAAAAAAAAATTACTACTACTGAGTCTCTTGTAATTTTTTACTTGTTCTTAATCTAAAAAATCGTTGGCTATGTTAAATATACTGTTTACATATGGTTAACGCACATAGATATTTTATTATTTTAAACAGTGTCTTTAAAAACAAATAGTCAATTTTAATAAAAGAAAACCTTGTCCGAACGATCACAGAAAATTATTACTACGTGTTCTAAGTATGGTTACCGAAAGATATTCATAAAGCCAAAAGCCAGTATAACAAAGTTAATAAAATATATACGTTACTATTTGATTTTCAAAAACTTGTATAAAAATAATTAGTTTTGAAGATTATAATTAGTTACAACCACATGCCTTAAAAGTGAACAAAGGTTTGCAAAATTTAAAAAAAACACACACATCCATACATGTAGTATAACTTGTGTGTTATTTAAATGGAAAATTAAGAATATCTTTGCGTTGGTTTGGTTATGACTTGTGGTGATAGATCATTTTTTAAATAAAAAATATAGCAATATACCTGAAGCATTAACCAAAAAAAAAAAAACCCCAAATTTTAAATTATGCCAGTCTTGCACCAAGATTCAGCGGTCCATAACTAGCCCGAAACCGGCATAAACCCAGTTGAAAATCAGCCCATGCTTGGTCCGACACAAGGCTAGGGGCAAATGTCCCCCCCACTCACTATTAGTACTACGGTAATAAGAATAGTATCTTCGAGGTATTTCAGAAACTATTATTCGAAGAGTCAACCGGATTCGTCACCGTTCTCCAAGCACACATATAATATATTTATTCTTGTTTAATCAACACAACAATGTTCTTCGTTAATATCTTTTTACAGTCAATTGCATTAATAGTTTTCTGAAGACGATCATATTATATTTGAAAAGTTCAACAAAATGGAACCATTAATGGCTATTGGAAAAACAGTTTTTTTGTGTTTTTCAATAATTTTAGAATGTTTTATTTATGCTCTATGCCTTTTTTTCATCTATTTAGTAACAATAGAGAGTATTTTGAAATGTTTTACTGTTACAAGTTTTATTAAGTTACATAAAAAAAAACATATTAGCATGGAACATGCATGGATCTAGCAAGTGTTTTTTTAAACATAATATGTATATATAAAAGTGTATAAAATGTCTTGTCTTTTAAGTTTTTAAATCTAAACAATTATTGTATAATAATAATTATATTCAGTGCTTCGAATACCTAAATTGTTTGATTGTTGTAACAACACACTTTACATTACACCTTACATTATTACCCGTGCACTTTTAAATTTATTCAATTATTTTTTAATTTAATACTAAAACCTGCTATTCTAATATTTCCGATAAATCAAAATACATTAAACAAATTGAATAGTTTATAAAGTGAGGCATCGGCCGTCTAGTTTCAAAACCACCTGAACATTTTTCAAAAAAGGGGTTTTCGTATTTTTTAAATGGTCACAATGTATTACATTGGTTGTACGAATATGAGGGTTTGGAAATCCTCGATTTTCAGTGTCCCTTTTGATTTGTTTTTTGACTTTTGTATGTTATTAGGTGTAAATTGATGCATATTTAATACCTAAATACAACATTTTACCTTATTAATGGTTTGCGTACGAGTGATATAAACTTTTAAAATTTAAACGTAAACCCCTTTATTTTTTTGAGTTATTCTGTTAGATTTTTTTTTTTTTAATGATGATGAAAACTTGGTTTTTTGTTCAGTAATTTTTACATCATTATTGTTCAAAAATAGCAAATTCAAACAATTTGGTGATTATTATGACTACAAATGCAGACAAGATTACACTTGTAACATTAATGTTTCATGTTATCGACCATAAATTATCGTTACAATGAGATTAAGTGAAGTCGGCATACGTTCGTGTATGTACAAGTGTTTAGGTTAAAAACGCCATGTTGATATATTCTATGTCTGTATATTCATGTCTATTAATAACTATATGATTTTTCATTGGAAAATTTGAGCTTTAACATACACTTCTCGTGTGCTGTATCTTTTTGAAAACGCGTCTATGTATTTTAAAATATAGTTCTTGCTAAAAATTTTAGCTAATGTTGCTTTTGAACATATTATTATGGTTTGTGCTCATAAATGTGGCTTCAGCGATGCCGCCGAAAGATGTCGAAAAAATAAGAAGAAAGAACGAGATGAACAGAATGAAAAGTCTTCATATGGGGTTTCTGCATCCTCCTCTTGAAAAAAAATTCAATAGTTATAGAAGTTCGATAGTTGTCGAAAAAATAAGAATCAAACACATACACAAACAACTTCAGTGCAGCTATGCGTTGTTCGGTGTGCGATACATGCGATTAATCGAAGGACTTTTGGCGGACCCAATTTTTCTGGTGCGAGGTGATTTTAAAAAAGTTTTATTTGATGAAGAAGCTGCTGCAATGTTAGCCGCTACTATAAATATAACAGAATTAAAATGGGCTAAAAATATTTTATGGACGTTTTGGTTGTACGCGGATAGATTGCACAGGTTTTTTGAAAACATTGCAATTTTAAATGTAATCAATGACCAGTACCATTCTGCCATTGTTACAGTTCACCAGTCTGTTTACGCCGTACTCGAACGTTTTTTGAAAGCATACGACTGTTCACCCTACGACGTTGAAAACAAATTAACACTCTTAAATTACGAGATCATTCAGCTAGCAAATAAAACGGATAAATCGCAAAGTCTTGTAGCGTTAATTGAAAATAACAAATCAGAGTTTGAACATCAGAAACTCATTAACAGTAATTTGGGTATACTTACTATCGGCGAACAAAAATTGTCTATGGAAACTTTAACCCTAAACGGCCTACTCGGAATACAATCAATAGTAGACCAAAGCTTGGGCACGGATTTTTGGGATACAGTCAAATACGGACTAATCCACGAGTACAATACTGCGATGGGATTAGGCATGGCGCTAAGCAATCAGGCTAACGCACTATACGTTTTTCAGAAACAGTACATTGACACAATAAAACTCATAGCGTTACATTTAGGTAGACATTTCCTAATGGCGACGACCAATGCTGGTCGTTTAGGAAACGACTCGTTACAAGAACGCAAAGAGAAAGTCATTGCTGAACTCACGAATCTCATTCAACTCCTCGTAAACGTCATTAGAGAACGCACCGACGACACCATTCATATCATAATCTGTTGTATTGAAACATGCACAATCGATAGTGATGGAGTACCGAGAAATGCAGGTGTCGAGGAGATTGAGAACAAAATAACATATCTCTTGTCGGAATCAAAAATTACAGCACACGATTTATCTAAGTTTTCTTCAGAAAACTACAACCGGAGACCAGTAGACTCTGATGAGTTTCACGCATCAATAGTGGAACAATTTAATTCGTTTGTCAAAAACGCTGTACAAGTGTTGTCAGAAGTTAACTTTACCATCGTCAACTCGTTTATTGCATACACATTTTCCGAAGAGTACCGACACGTCGCCGCAATAGAAAATGAAAAAAATATCTAAATAATTGTGACTAAAAGTTCTTATATCATACTGTTGTTATGTTATTCAAATGACTTTCTAATAAAATATGACACGTCAACAATTGAGGTTAACATTGCTAACCTTATGAACTTCTTTTCTGAAAAAAAAATTGTACCAATATTATTATTGATATTATTAATACTCTTCTATAAAATGGACAAAAGATTAAGATGTTTTGTGATGTGCAGCTATGAATATATTGAGAACGTATTATGTATATTATATATAGGAGAACAGGAGAGCGACTAAGTCCACGTCATCGGTCAAGACGCTCATCTTACTTAAATTTTCAGTATACACATAATTGTACATGATAAAAAAAATCATGGTGGTTATTCGGACCGTAATGCTATAACATATTTATTATTCACTTTTTTTCCAGGGAGGGGAGAAAATAACACTACATTTTTTTTTGAGGGAAAAATAGTCATACAGTATTCATATTAATTTAGGCATCAACTTTTAACACAAATTATTAATATTAATTTGAAACTTTACCCATGAATTTACAATCAAAAATTTTATCTTAAACTTGGAAAATTTATTTTTAGATGATAATATAATAATTAAGTTAATTTACATTGAGTAGGTTTCTTGACCAATTCCGTTTGAGGCGTCTGTTTGGATTGTCCGGAAGTGTTTTTCAGTACAGCTGGGTGACAAGTCGGTTTGAATGGCATTGCATTTTGGAGTGTAGTCTTAGGTAGAATGTAGATGCAGTCTTTTTGACTGTTGTTACTTTGAGGTCTTCGTGAAGGGAGTTGGTTGTGACGTACCGCGGGGCTTTGGTGGCCAAGCGGAGACATATGTACTGGAACGCCTGAATTGTCCTGATGTTTGAGGGTTTTGCGGCACCACAAAGAGCAATACCGAAAGACCACGTTGGTAGAAGGAGGGTTTTGTATGAAGGTAAACGGTTAGAAATATTCAGATTGTACTGAATGAGCGGTCTTATTAGATGTAGGCGAGTGCTGAACTGTTTCACTTCAGCTTTTTAAGATGGGTTCCCCAGGTATGTCTCCTGTCGAATAACAAGCCCAAGTATTATTTTCCGTTACTACTATAATTTGTACATGTTATATACCACTTCATTACTTATGTAATATTAATAATGTTATTAACTCTAACGGAAAACGAATTTTACAAATTATTCAGAAATATTTTATAAAAATAATATTAAAATTTGAACGATTTTATTACGAAAATGAATATTACATTTTACAAATTGAAATTTTTTTCTGAAATTAATTTGGACACCATAAAGCATAGATCCATTTGTGGATACACATGGTCGTATCTCAGGTAATTTTAAGGAAGCTTAGGATAGTCATAGAGTGGAGCATCTAAAACAAAAACATATTAGTATTATGTTATATAAATAATATTTATCGAACACAATTAGGTAATATACTCGTTTATTTTTTGTACAGAAATTAATAAATCACTTTATATAAAAGTGATGTCACAATAATACCCACATATCAGAAATAAAATAATTATTTTTAATTAATACATTTTTTTTTTCTTCAAAAAACGTAACCGGATTTAAGAAAACAATAGATGAAATAATATTGTTATAAAAAAAACATTTTTTCTATATTAAATTATTTGCACGGAAAAGAAATTTAAAACCACTTCTTTCAATATGTTTTTTTTATAATGATACAACTAACTGAAAGGTTACACTTTTACACCGAATAAAATAGCCTAACCCCCTTAACGGATACTGAGTACAGGTAGAGTAAATGTAAAGGATGTCGTATTAAAAATGTAATTAAAAAAGTAAGTTAATGAAAATAAAAAAAAATCCTGTTTTTTTATAATATTGTTTATGGTGTAAGTAATTCAACTAGGTCCGCCCATAGATGACGCTTAATTTGTATATGTATATTAAACATTTTATAATAGATTAACTATTTCTCGACTTACCTTTGCTTGCTTCTGCGTTGCTACTACCAAATGCAAGAATACAAATTGCAATATATATCACGCATAATGTAATATTAATGAATTTCATTTTCTTGTTTTTCTAAAAAAAAAAAAATAGATTTTCAGTTTGTTAAATTGCGTACCATAATCAGTAAATGCAGTTTTCCTGAAGTGATTTATACAACGCCGAAGTATTGCAGATTTTTCTATTTTAAGTGTTATACTATTTTTTTTTAATGTTAAAATTAATTTAGTTAAGTAAAAATAAATAAATATAGTGCGGTGATTTTTCTGGTTATTTTGGAATGAGAACGTCGTCTAATTAACTCGAAATGGATTTTTTTACCCTTTTTTGGCCAACAAAAATATCGATATTAACGCGCATTGTATTATAGGCGATTTATAACTAAGACTTGAAACATTAAGTTAAAGTTCGTTAACATATATTTATATGAAAACAGGAAAGAGGAGTCAATTTTATATTTTGTTTATTTAATCTTCTATAACGTACGCAGGCTCTATTTTTGTATAAAAATGTATGTTTCCACTGTAGTAAGAGCGAAAAATAATACAGTTATGAAATTAAGCAATATATCTAGGCCAAATGGCAAACGGTTAAAATGTTTATACAGCGAAAATTATATGTATTTCTATTATTGAAAGACACACAAATTGTTATGTCAGGAGGCACTCTTTTGGGCTTGGTCACTATTATTAAAGTATTGTACTTAACTTTGTTTTAACGAATATTGTACTTTGTTGCGTGTAAATCATTCGAGTTTAATTATTATAAAAAGTGTTTAAAAATAATTGTCAATGTATTTTTTCATGATAAGTTTCATCGTAATAAATTGGTCATTAACTTTACAAAGAACGTACGGATAATAATCACTGGCTCAACTAAGTTGTTATTATACTTAGCTCTAGGTCAGAAGTGCTGACAGTACAGTTTCCCACGAGCTTAGAAACACTGGCCAATTATTCAACGAATAATTATTAGAATAATACTCAGGTTAGACCTATCAAGAACAAACATTATTTCAGTGTGACTACCGTGCGTGTATTAAGCCGAGTCCGTGTACGACACTACTATTTCCAACAATATAAGTTCCCATTTCAGCTGATTTCAATTCTGAAAAAGTTTTCAACTCCTCCTCGTCATCTCTTAATCTGTTGTTTGACGTATCGACTATTTTTTTCTTATTATTTGTTCTCATTATAAAATAGTTTTTGCAAACAGTTTTTTTTAAAACTATTCGAAAATCTTCTTCTGGGCTTTTACAGGTCTGCAAAGCTCATCGCCGCAACAACATATTGTCTCCAACCCTCTCTATCGTTTGCACATTCTTCTGCGTTCCTTACGTACAGAAGTTTCAAGTCTTCTTGTACTTTATCCATCCATCTTTGTCTAGGGCGTCCTCTAGTCTCTTAGTGTCGGGTTTCCATTTAGTTATTGATCCAATCATTCCCTCCGATCTCCGAACTATTCGAAAATATTGAAAAATAATAACAACTTAAAGCCGATATGTCAGAAATTGGAAAAAATGGGAGCTTGGATTGATGGAAATTCCAAAGGTCTATAACGCCTAATTTTTTACAGTCGCGAAGCCCTTTCATTTTAATGTTTAAAGTGGTTACTGACCAATCAATATTTTTAGAAAACTCTACTCTTTAATATGGCTATTTTTATTTTTATCAGTTTAGTGAACAATTAAACACAATTACAGGACACACATCACAGGGCGTTCTACAAAGATTTGTGTAAATTGTAATACCCATTGTAATTTCTCCAATGGAAATTATGTTTTCTCTGAATAATTCATTAGCTTACAATATGGTGCCGCATGATGACCTAAGCTTTGTAATATCTCTTAGAGAAAATGGTGTTTTTAATTTTGTTTTTTTGAAATAAATTGTTAGACTATAGGCTCCTAATATTGGGATATAAAACTATTTATTTTATTACACTTACAAAAAAATATATAAAAATAATAATAGCTGTCTTAAAGAGTAATTTTTTTTTTTAAATGATGACTGGTCAACAACTTTTGTGGATTTATAAATTACAATCGTTTAATATAGAAAAATGTACTATGTACTTGTACGTTCACGTTTATACTAAATTCACTTACCTATAATGGTATTATCGCAGATGAGTACCGTGTTGAGTTGTTGACACTAATTATGATTCGATTATACCGAATGTTTGTATATTTATAGCCATTACTATCTAATTAAAACGCTTTCGTGCGAAACAAATATTTATTTATGAAACACTTGTTCAAATCGCATAATATAACATTTTGTTTACACGGGGGCATCAGTGCACGTCAATGTGAGTCCACGACCCTGACCTTTAATGACCGTCACTAAATCAAAACGATTTTTAAATATATTCAAATGACTGTAGATTATTTTATTTTATTTCACAATAAACAATCAAACCCACACAATTAAATGATATGATATGACGTTCTAACAAAATCAAATATTTTAATCCAAAGTATAAGCATATAAAAATAGTGTATATTATGTTAGTTAAGTTGAAATAGTGTAACTCTTCATTTAATAAATATTAAGTTAACGGATAAAATTAATTTATTCCTCTTAAAATCGAAACAGGAATATTTCAGAGATCTAAAATAAGTATTAGTTTTTAATCAGGAACTTTTAAATAAGAGTTCTTGAATAATATGTATTTCAAAACAGTTAGGAAAACTACTAGAAATAAAAATGTTATATTTAAACACTTAACGTCTAATTCCTTAAAATTAATTACTGCACGTCAATTTGTGTTTTAAATTGCTTCCAAAGTTGAAAACAAATTCTAAAATAGAAATAAATCAGAATTTTCTCATGTTAATTTGTATAGTAGAAATTTCACAAGATAACACACAGAATCCGCTGAAATTACAATTTGTTTTGTGGTTTTTTCAACATTGTAGGCGGTTTGATGTATAACTAGATAGTTTATAAATTCTAGTTTTGGGATTTAAATGAACTATTTATTTAGATAAAAAACCAGCTAAATAGGCATATGGACAAAATATTAACTTTATAAATGAAAATACTTATGGTAATATATGGTAATTTATCAAGGCAATTATTGAACTAGATTTCTCGGAAGAAAAAAAATGTCCTATTCTTTTAGATACACATTGTACTATATTTTTCAACATTTTGAACATTTTAACGTTAATTTACATCTTATTATTTGAACTCATATTTATTTTGTTAATTTCAAAATAATTTTAGTGATTGAATTTAGTTAATTAATTATTGAAAACAAATTATATCATTAAAATACAGTACTTCGGTAGTATTTTTTAATTTTCATCCATCTATTAATTTGTTATGACTTAACAAAGATTTGATTTTTTGTCTGTTTATTTTATCGTTAAAATTTGTGATCATGTTATTTTGTAAAAAAATAGCTTGCCGAGTAAACAATATCAGTAATTTTAAACAATCAAAGTGTGTGTTACAATGCAGATTATATTCTAGTACCTACAAGTTTTAGCCAAGTGCCAACGACATACTTTAACTGTTCAACTGAACGTTGGTTTAAAATAAATCGTATAAGGTCAACTATAATCCATAAAAGATGTTTTGCGTTGGTATTGTTACCAATTTAATATTATGATATAACAAGTGAAACATATTTTGAAAAAAAAGAATTTCATTTTCAAATTTTCTCCAGCCGTGAATGTTATAAATTGTAGTAAATATTTATTATTATTATATATTTTTTTTTAGAACTTAGGCCATAAAAATATAAAGTTGTATTTTTAATTTATATTAAATTATAACATTAAAGCGTTTAAAGAAATCTTAACATCTAGGTAGTTTTATATTACATACACCTAAATAGTTTTGTTTAAATTAAAACTACATTTATGTAACATCAATTATTCCTAGGACTAAAATTCATTGGCGTAGATTTTAAGGGGGGGGGGGGTGCTAAAGGGCAATAACCTCTCCCAGAATTTTATTTAGCCTCCCTAGAAAATGCATATAATTTTATGTTCATGATAGATGAGTGATTGAAAAGGTTTCCATTACTTTAATTTTTTTACATAAATAATACACCTAATAAAATAATAAACGAATAATAATTAAATTTCTCTGTTTAGGCGATAACTGCCTCTTACAGACATTAGGCTTTCCGGATTGTGACATACCTCTTTGAAAAATTATTCGAATTATTTCTCAGCTTAATGTGGGATACTGTTTGGATAATACAGTATTAAATACTACCTCTGTACAGTGGAAACTCAAGCAATATCGTTTACCATTTTCTACATAATTTGCAAGTATTTATTTTGACTTTTAGGTGTTGCTTAAGACCGATTGCTAGTTTGAAAAGGCATCAGATTTGGTGCTTTAACATATTTAGAAAAACCTGTGCAATTATTTAGTAGAATATTGTTATTTTGTAGTGTATTGTTGCCTGTTGACGTTGACTTTTGCGAATTTCGTTAGCGTTTCATATTTTTTTATACATACAGGTGATCGCATAAGCCACAAGCTACCCACGTCGTATTTTTTTTTATTTGATTTTATTAAGCAGAGCTAGTGCAAACATTTGGCAATTGTGTACACTGCACGGTAGGCATAGCTAAGCGTCGAAATCAAAAACAACGGCTAACCTTCACAGAACCAAGTGAATATTGTTCAACCTAAATTTACGTTACAGCAAAAAATAATTGTTAAATTTAGTCTTCTTAGACTTTTGAACGACATCAATCAGGCATAGCCCCAAGAAGCGTTTTTAGTTTTGACGAAATTCCCAGGGAGCTCTAAGAGTTTTTTGATGTCAAACATTTTCCTAGATCCCCCCCCCTCCAGGGGCGGATAGGAAGTTTTTTTTTGTTATAGGGAAATACTTTAAAGGGGCCATCGGAACGGAAAAAAAATTGCTCACTTCACTCCCAAACACATTATCATTGAGGAATCGCTTTGACATTACTTTCCAATTTTTTCTTTTGTAGACCTCCGAAATTATTTTTTTTAATTCAGTGATAATTCCTGAATTACATTTGAATTTTTTTAGGCGTACCAAATTTTAAATCGAAAATAGTTACTCAACAATTTTTGACGCTTATCGAAGTCGCTATAACGTGTCGTGTCAAACATTTTTATTGGGTAATTATTTTCTCGACATTAAGCTATCAATTTCTTTAGGGTTTCGGTAATCTCCGTGAAGTGGCCCTTAAAGAATTTTCCGTGCTCAACGTGGAGTCTTTTAATCCCATACGTTTTATATGTAGTTCCCAAAGTCAAGTCCCTACTGCAAAACTTATACGATATTTCAATCATACTCTATACGAAGTAGGCAATTTCTTTCAGAGCAGTTCTTACATCCTGTAAAATTACATAATTCGAGCACTGTAATTCTTGAATCTTGCGTTAAAATTACACTCAAGTAAGAATTTTACCCTCTCGTGTAACGTCGGTATCCGAGGTCAGTGTTGTTATTTCGTCGCTGCTTAACTTAATGGCCTCGTCGCTTAATATATAGAAAGTGTTCAACTGACCGACAAAATTAACTGGATACTGACCAATAGTGAAGAACTGTGTAAATTTTTAATCTAGAACCATACAATAATAAAATATCAAACACATATTTTATGACGAATGAAAATAAGCATTTAGAAAAATGTGATTTTCTTAACAAAACCGTACACGTTTAGAGCCTAGGAATAATATATGTTGTTATCATACTTTTAAGTGCCTGGGTATAATAACCGTGGTCCGAGCAAATAGGATGTATAAAGAATAAATTAAAAAGCTAGAGGCGCTGGTTTAAAATATTCGCTTTTTACATAAACCCAGAAGTGTGTAATAAAAATAACTTATTCTCCTATACCTGTCAAACATTTTATTTTTATTAAATAATATATCTTCAACTATTAAGCTTTCTTTATATATGACAAATCCTAACAAAATATATACAAAATAGTCTGGATTAAAATGTCAAAAACATAATTTGTGATGATTGGATGTGTAGAAAAATGTTTGAAAATTATTTTTGTTTATTTATATAACGGCTTCAAAAACAAAGATTATTAGCCATAGAGATGATGTTTGAAATTGTAAGTTATTTGTAATTAAAATTTGGTTCAATATTAGTGTGTGATACATACATTTCATAATACCTAACTCAATGAATTTGGACTTGTTGAATAGGGCCCACGCATTATATATAGCAACTCTTTAAAACACAAATTTATCAAGTTGGTACTTAGGGAGGGGGTTAAAAGTTGAAACGTTTACTTCTTCACAGTTAAAATAAACCATACGAATTTTTAAGTTAAACATATTCAGAACTATAATTTTTCTCAATTTGCCGAAAAACCGTGATTTTTGCAGATTTCGTAAATTTGAACATATGCAACTTAAATCTTAAACAGATTTTATCAAATTATTACACCATTTTAATGGGCCATCTATTCAGAATGAAACATTTAAGTTTAGATACTTAAGTATCAGGTTTAGGTTTTAATTAAATTTTTTTTTTTTTACTCAAGTTTTTTCTGGTTGAGAATATTTGAAAACTGATATTAAATTTCCAATCACCGACCCTAAAAACATATAACTTGACCACTTTTGAAGTCTTTTACACAAAAATGTTTTAGCTTCGATGCAGAGCAGAGGTGCTAATGGTTTTACCATGATGTGGGCATAGGCGCAAATACGGGGGTATAGGGTGGGCTTAGCCACCCCAAAAAAATTAGGTTATGCATACAATTTTGAAATACAAAAATAAAATTATTTATATATATATTTTAAAAAAAATTCCAGCCCCCAAAATTAAAAAATTGAAATTGCGCCTATGGATTTGGGCTTTTTTTGTGTTCATATACACTGTAACTTTTTTAACACTTGACCAATTCCTTCAAGTAGCAACTCTATAAATAAAAACTTTCATCTAGTTGGTACTTTAGGGGGGGGGGGGGATAAAAGTTGAAAAAGTTTACGTCTTCTTCACAATTAAAATTTGAAAAAAACCATACGAGTTTTTAAGATAGAACTTTTACCGGCTCTTTTTTTTTTTACTATTATTTAACATATTTTATAATAACAGAATTTTTAAAAAATATTTTTTGGCTCTAGTGAAAAGGTAAAGGTAAAAATCTAACAAAAAAGTATCGTCAATAATATTATTCTAACAAAATATGTACAAAATTGTTTGTCCAATTATTATTATAACAATTCTTAATCAAGTTAAAAAAAAAATAGTCATGTATAATATAATATGTTCCAAATAAATTTTGACTTGACGTCGATACACGTACTTATTACACGTAGTCTTTGTCTGTAATCGTTCGATCAAGGTTTTTTTTTTAAACTAAAATTTACTATTTGTTTTTCGGATTGTTAAAGGCAGTAGTTGTAAAAATTAGAATATCGATGTGCGCAAATCGTATATCTGATTCGATAAAATTGTCAACTATTGATGATTTGTCATAACCTTGGAAATTTTTGTATAATATAAAAGTAATACTAAAAAGTGCGCAAAAAAATTGAGCGATACCAATATTAACAATTTTATATATTATTTTATGCTTAGATCGACGATTTTTCTGGTAAAAATTTAATACTTAATTCGTGAACATTTATCGATGGCACTTAAAAAAAAAATGAATAAAATATTTATGTACATAAGTGCCGAAACTGTACGCATTTTTAATGTAAAAAATTGTATCAACAAAATGGTACACTATTCAGTACCGACAATGTTCCCAAATTGTTCAATTACTTAAAAAAAAATCAACATGTATAACAGTTTGTAAATGTATAGTATTATAAACGCTCGATTATATTGTAATTAATTAACCAATGTCTAGCTGCTGAAGCCATAACAATAAAAAAAAAACATAGTAAACAGAAAAAAACCCAAATTTCGACAATCTACTCCCCTTCCTGGGGAAAATGTTAAATGTTTAATTCAATTAATTTTATTTTAAATTAAAATCTGAAATTTTGGTTAAAGGTGGATCAAGTTTGGCTCTATAATAGTTTCGAAGATTTGAATAACTGTAATAGGTAAACAGTCCAACCTGAACATTTCAATACAAGCAACTATGATCTTAAATTTGGAATACATTAAAAAAAATATTGCTTTCACATCGAGTTACACCCAAAAGGAGTTGAACAATCACAATTATTTTTCCGGGCAACGCCGGCTAATTCAACTATTGTATTATATTGTTGTACAGGGCTATTCGAATAATAATTATTTTGTTGCTTATTATTATAATTTTTTTTCGTTTAAGAGTAGACTATACAATCGTTCACAAAGAAACTAATAATGCGACATAAATTAATAATTCTTATTTACGTTGTACGTTTCCAGACGTATTTACATTTTAAAGTAAATAACCGCTGTAAAAAACATGCGTATGCATGTGTAAAATGCTCTACAAAATATCAAAATATATTAGACGATTATCACGTTTAATGGTCTAACTTAATTAAAAGAGTAAAAAGTTATGTTTTACAGCAGCATGCACTTAAAGACCGTCGTTTTCCTATGTTCAATTATATTTATCCAACAGACATTGACAGCATTGACAGCATGGAGAGCATTTGCAAAATTCATTGGAGTTGAGGTATATTTTTTTAAATTAAAGCTATTGGTATATTTTGGTATATGTTGCTAAATTAGCTGTTCAGTTTTTGCTGTAAAACTAATAAATACGTATTTTCTATAAAGCAGATTAATGATTTTTTTAATTTTTTTAATCTAGCAAACAGCCCCAATTACAGAACCGGTAATATTTTTTTATAGCGATTGCCTAAAATTTGATAAAATAATTATCAGTTTTCGTTATAACATTAATAAATACGATTTATGATATTTTTATAAATAGTAAAAATTTGATTAAACACTTATGATAAAAAAAAATATGTTTTAAACATTTTCACGATTTTATATAATAATACAATTTTTTTTTTATTTGCCGTATGCGTGATATTTGAAATTACATTTTAGGAGTTAAGATATTTGTATACGGCCATTGTGGACGATTTTCCAAATGAACCAGTAACACAAGAATTGACAACAACCTATCTCACGTATTATGGTTGTTCAGATGTCGAAACTTCAGTTCGATTTTTAAAAGGTATGCTAGACAATCTCTATTGGCGTAATTAGTAGGGGGGGGGGGGTGGTGCTAAAGAAGCTAAAACCTTTTGAAAACTCTTCTTAGCTTCATTAAAATATCAATAAAAAAAAAAAATACTTCATCAAAATCCATTGAAAGTGTGAAGCGTATGTGTTATTTTATTTTAATGTGAGTATTTATAAATTTCAGATCAACATCATACTGTAGATGAATTTGTCCATTTGATGCTGAAAGGTGAGGAGCACAATGAGTTAAAATAAAACGAAGATTTTAACCTATTAGTTATTTAATATTCACTCGACCAGTTTTCAAATCTTCTTGTTCAATGTAAATTATTATTTTGTTATTAATAAAAATTAAAAATTATATAAATTATTTTCCATACCATAAGATTATTACAACCCAATGTACAAAAGTATACTGAAATAAACAAATTGATCTGTTATTATGCAAATATAATATTTTTATAAATAAGTTTTTGGAAATTATCTCAAAAAATCCAAGTAATTGATTGATTATATTATGTGAACTAAATATATTAAGCACTTAAATGTACTAATGCATTACCAGTAAGATAGCGTGTGATAAATACGACGAGTGTTGTTGTGTCCGGTGAAAAGACTAAACTAATATATGGTTTTAATATGGAAGGCAATATCTGGCTATATTTAATCTGTGATCTTGCAATTTTTACTAGTTTGTTTATTATTTTATTTTCTTGTAAATCTTTAAGAAAGATTACCTGATCAAAAAAAATGTAGTATTACTTAACACGCCTGGCAGTCTGGATGAACCTGATGATAGTACAGATATTATATGTAAATGATCTACTTAAATCAATGAACCTCCAATCTGCACCTACTAAAGTTAAGCGTTTGGGGAAATTTAATACTAAACCTCGTTAAATATTAGTAGAACTACGCAATAGTCATTGTTGGTATAATATTTGAATTAGCAACGACATGACAGCTCCTCAGCATCAACTCATAAAAACCTTGCCGATTGAGTTACATAACAATCAAATACCAATGAAAATAACAATTGGCTTATAATATGATGAGTGATCGACACACCAAGTTTAATGGGAAAAAAAAATAACACTCATTCGTAGGAAAACGTCAAACAATGTATTCAATTTTTCATAATGTTAGCTGTGTTCATTGAAATAATCCTCTCATTGGGAAATCCATCGATGATGATGTTGAATGTTTTTATCAAACATTAGTTTAATTGATCAATAGCTTTATAGCTTTATAATATTAGTACCATTAGTACATTATAAAATAAGTTTTTTAACGGTACTAACTGTTCTGAGCTATATGTTTTATACGTTTGAGGACACTTGAAACCTAGTATAGTTTACTATGATAAACAGCCAGATGACTTTTAATAAAAAAGAAACATATTTATAATAATATATGTTTTTTTAGTATGGTTAATTTTGCTAACAAGTATAATGTATGTAAGTATAAATATTGTCAATATTATGTACAAACATATCGATGTCATTTTTTTTTTAGTTTACAGAAAATGGTTAGAAATTTGTGTATTTAATAAACTTTGCGTGCCATCAAATATCTAGACTATGAATATTGGTTCCATCATATATATATGAGTTATATATAAATAATAAATATATATATATTTACAACGTATGGAAGAATACCGGTTTTTAAAAATGAAAAATGTTTAAGTTGGGGAAAAGTTTTTGAGTGAATTATGGCTGGCCATCAATAAATAAAAAAATAACTTGTTATTATTATTTTTACCAATTTTTTAGGATTTTTTTTTACTTATTATTAGCGTTTGTATACTTGGAAATCCAACGGCAAAAATATAGTGTTATATTGTTTTTTTTTTGTTCCTTTTTTATTGAAATACTGCTTTTAAATCGTTTTTAACTTATATGTTATTTCGCTTTTGTGTTTGGTGAGCTTAGGAAATCCAAGGTCATATCATAAGTTTTCAATATTCTCGAATCAGATGTACTTTTCTTTACACAGATGTTTTTATTTAAACCACGCTATATTATTTAAAAAAGCCAGTACAGTGCTTGGTTTGGACTTTACTGGTTTGAAAATACTAACCACTGATTCGCATCGAAGCGTTTATTCGAAAGTGATTTTATAACTTTCAGTTAAAATAATTACTGTTAACATGTGACCTCCCCATCCCCACTATGCTCCGACCTCACCATGATCCGTCCCTACTATGCCCCGACCCCACTGTACTGGCTTTTTACTTTTTAGTCCTAAAGACACTTAATAATTGTGAATAGATTAATAAATTAATTTTGGAAGATTTGAAAAACATGACATTTTAGTGAAATGGCCTTGTGAAATAAGTTTTGGTGATAAAATATAGTATTGAAAAACATAGTACAACGGGTAATAATTAAAAGAATCGGAAATTTTGTTTCCCAAAATAATAATAGTATCTCCTGAGAAAATGAAGGTCTTACATCAGATGGATCACTCTATACAGAACTGCTACACGAAAAATCGGTTCAGCGGCTTAAAAGACACGAAAAAAATACAATATTTTTAAAACCAATACTTTCTCAGCTCCACATCCGAGATTTAATCAATTTTTTACATTTAATATTTATATAGTTAAGTTGGTTATTAATTTAGTGCATCAAAAGTAACAAAACATATTACCATTGATTTTATAATATACATATTATAAGCTATTAGGGTGTTTATTTGAAAACATAAATATTTGTTTCAAAATAAATCGATAGGAAGCAGTAGTATAAATGAAACCATTGATTATGTAATAACAAAAAAATATTTTCTATATTTGACGTTCCACATTTATTGAAAAGCATAAGAAACAATTTAATTGGGGCCTGTTATATTAAAGGCGATAATATGATTTCATTTGATGATATAAAAAAAACATACGAGTTAGACAAAGTAAACCATAAAAGTAGGTCTCTCATAAAAATAACAGATGCACATATTTACCCAAATACTTTTCAGAAAATGCGCGTTAAATTAGCCGCGCAATTATTCAGTAATTCTATGTCAGCAACAATCCCAACCTGTATACAAACTGGTCAACTTAAAAATAATACTACTACAAATACTGCAGATTTTATTGAATTTATCAATGATTTATTTGATTGTCTTAATAGCAGGTCTTTGTATGGTAATAATCCATATCGTTGTGCATTAACTGATTCAGGAACTGCAAAGAACTTTTTAATAGAAGCTTCGCAATATTTTGTAAATTTACAAAAGTGAAAAAATGGGAAATTAACACAACCTTCTTGTTAAATACTTTTTGCACCACAGCGACGATATAAATTGTATTTGTATTTATTCTCTTATTAGTGGAGAACACTTTTTAATAAACGGGCTAACACGCCCAGTACCACGTACCAAAAGTTGTGTTAATTAATTATTTTTTTTTCCTTTAAAATTAAATAAATACAAATTACTATTATTTATTTTATAATAAAAAAAAAAAATCATTCTAGGCATACACGAACGAACCAAAGTAACAAAATACTGATATGTCGAAGAAACTTATCTGTCGGGATTTCTGTTTCAACCAAACGTACATACATTAATAACGTGTGTTGCAGTACCAACTAGGTCAATATTAGGATCAAATATCTTCTTTATAAAAAAAACAATAGTGGTGGAGTTTACATGACCCGATAACAGGGATAAAAATAAAACTGGCGGAGTTTACATAAGATCTTTTTTCTAGACCTTCATCTGCCTGTTATTGTGTGTTCACAATCGCCCAACGCCATCTATCGAGAATCGGCATAAACATAATGTTAGTCGCCGAATACTCCTATGCTATGGGCTATCTGTATATTACATAATCAATGGTAATACCTATTATAGAAATTGTATGAATTATAATCAGATACAGAGTTATAAGCCTAATACACTTCATAGATAAGAACAATAAAATAAAATTACTTTAATTGATTAACTAACATTAAATGTATGTGAATATTATCTTTTGTGTACTATGTATACTATGTATATATTTTTTGATAAATGATAGTCCTTACCTTTAAGGAGGAGGGAAATCAAAATAACACTCTATAACCACAAAATAATCGATTACAAAAAGAATAGAACCATTAACCATTATAATTATTATAATAATCATTCTTTATTGTAAATCCTCGTGAGACACCCTAATCAAAATTTACCACCTAAATACCACCGCTTATATTAAAAAAAGCTAAAACAGTACACAACTGTACACGTTATAGGCCCATTCTAGATCTACTTTTCAGACCTAAATCCTTTACTTGACTTTGCTTAAAAAAGTGAAATAAAAAAAAATTCTATCCCTTCTAGAGAAAAAAGATTTATATATTTTTGGTTTGTCAATGTTTATTGACAGTACTATGTTTAAAGAGTATTCCTTGCAAATATGAAAATATGTTGCCAGACATTTTAAAAAATTTAATAAATATTGACAGTAAATACTAAATATTAAAAACAAAGTCAAAATAATTTTGACCGAGGCGACGTCTAACGGTCGGGTCCACGGTCCTATTATCCGCTGCCATTATAAACAATAGCAAGGCTTATCTGTATATTATAAAATCAATGCCTATGTGAAAAAAATATATACATAGTATACATGGTACACAAAAGATAATATTCACATACATTTAATGTTAGTTAATCAATTAAAGTTATTTTATTGTTCTTATCTATGAAGTGTATTAGGCTTATAACTCTTTATCTGATTATAATTCATACAATTTCTACAATAGGTAATACAATGTCTATGCCATAATCAATGGTATTGTTTATATTACGCATTAATTATGTTTTTATAAAAAAAATCAGTACTTGACCGTCTGTCGATGAGATGCAATGTGTTGACTCTGTTAATACAAATATAAAAACCCGACTGTGCCTTCCATATTACAGAATATTAAAGACACGCGTGATATTGATTCGTTCGGTCCGTTTTTATAAAAAAGTTAAACACAATAATAATTTGCATTACAATCATGTTTTTAGTGTCGGTTGTGTCGGTGTATTTGGCGTTCGCATCGTTGTTTTTGCATCCAGCAGAGGCAGCCTTACGGGTTTTAGCCATTAATACGATGGCGGGCAAAAGTCATTGGAACTTCATGAATGGATTTTTGCATTCGCTGACCGACGCCGGTCATAACGTTACGGTTTTCACTTGGTTTCCAGAGGGGGGAAGAGAAAACTATACAGAAATCGTTTTTAAGGGACCAACGCGTTTGAACTTGGATTTAGTTAAATTTATAGATCAGCTAAAACCTCCCAATAATCTACTCAGACACGTCGTACACCGCAACAGAGAAGCATGCGATAATATATTTTCAAATTCTAAAATAGAAGCAATCATGACTGCGGGCAATACCGAAAAGTTCGATGTCATCGTCACTGAGACATTAGTTTCAGATTGTATGTCACATTTTGTTCATCGTCTCCGCCTACCGCTAATTTACCTTTTTCCTTCGCCAATACCGACTTACATGGAGGCGTCGTTTCTGAGTGAAGATTCCAACCCTGCGTATGTGTCAAATTTTATGTTGTCATTCGGCTACCCAAAGACATTCCAACAACGTTTGCTCAACTTTCTCACCTACAAATATAGCAAAATTATGTTGCGGTATTTTGAAATGAAAGCCGTTAAGTCCAACCCCAGACCTTACGACTATATAGAACCGGTCGTACCGGCTTTGGTGTTTGCGAACAGTCATTTCATCGTCGAACCGGCAAGACCCATGCCACCCAATTTCATAGAAATCGGCGGCATTCACCTTCCCGAACCAAAAGCAATACCAAAAGTAAGTTTTAAATAATCACTAAATAATACATAATTTATAAAACTCGGACGATGTTAGTGGGAAAGGATACACGTCTGAAATCCCTAGTTTTTAGGTCACACCTGATGTTATTAAAAAGAATCACGGTTCTTAATCAACGTTTTTTTTTTGTATTAACAACTAATATCATTCAGAATTTACTAATGCTTACAAACTTTTTTAATTTAATATTAAATAATAATTGAGGAACAACTTGATAAAATTGCAAAAACTTAAAACCAAATCAGTCCAAAATGATAGATTAAATGAACAGTCAAAGCGAAAAATTAATAATAAGAAATAATTATAAATCACTTAAAAATACTGTTGCCAAGTTATTAGAAGACAACAATAACTTTAACGAAAAGCTGTAAACTTTTGAAAAAAAAAAGTATCCCCTTTGAATGATAATAAGTTTACTGAAAACGACATTGTTATGGAAATTATGGATAATCTCGACTCAATAACTTGATCTTATTCAACTTACCAGAGCAGCCTATTGTCGAGGATTCAAATTCGATAAAATCAGATAATGTTTCTGTTAAATAATTATTCGATGTTATAGACGTTAAAGTAAGTCCTATTAATATATCCCGCCAAGGTATGCTTAAGTCGATCTATCAGCTAGACCTCGTCTCATCAAAGTTACTTTTTCAAATTCTCATGACCTTGGTTTAACTTTGTGATCTCAAAAGAAATTAAATTCCAATCCCAGTTACAAAGATTTACGTTTTGTTTCAATAATAAATTAGCTGAATTAAATTTACAAGTACCCGTCTCTTTGTATGATATTATTGTTTCTACTGAAACATGGCTCACTAATGATATAAATACACTTAAACTTTCAATAGATTTCATAACTACAATGTGTATAGGTATGATAGAAGCTCAGAAACCAGTTTACTATCTCGCGGTGGTGGTGTTTTGATAGCTGTAATTAATGTTTATTTGTCCCATGTTAATCTTGAAATGTTGTTTGCATGTGTAAAGATAAACCATAATATTATTATTGCTGGCTCTGTGTACATTCCCAAACGGTAAAATGTTTTTACTATCCAAGCAGCTAATCGTCCTATTGTTAAAGTAGATAACTTCCATCCAGGGACGGCGCCAAGGGGGGGCGAGGGTTGGCGGTCGCCCCCTCATAACAAATTCTTGCCCTTCTCTCGCCCCCCACCCTATTTTGCTAAATAGTATAATTTAAAATACTTGAAATTATTCTAAACCCAGATTTTGTATAACTGTATTTTTATATATACAAATTTAGTTATTACGGAAATTGTGAAAACAATTGTTGTATTGATTTAAACCTGTTTATCTATACAAATTTAGTTATTAGTTATGACATTGCCACCAAATGTGGCCTTTTTTTATCAATATATTTTGAGTGTTTTTGCAATCGGTTATCAATAATCCGTCGCCCATATAATTATGTGTTTTGGTGTATATATGTATATATATATAATTATAATATTTACGTTTGTGTGTGTGTTTTCCAAAAATTCAGTGTTTATTGACGGATTGTTTTGGTTTAATAGAATGTAGGTATAACGCGATAACTATAATCTCCACTGACTGGTTTTTGAGCGTTTTATAAGCCTTCGTTTTTACTTCGACTTTCATAGAGTACAATAAGAGCTATATGATGGCCGACAGGTAAAAATAACGCTTATTTAAAAAAGTTGCCTTACTTAAATTGTACACTAGTATATGTTGTCCCTTAATCTGTAATAAATTCATATTTTATACAATTTCACTGATAAATATTAAAGTCATTCACTGATAAATCATTATAATTGTTTTTTATTGACAGAAGTAGGTAAAATTATTGTGGTTGCCCCTCCAAAAAATTCACTTGACCTTTCCCGCCCGCCTAGGAAAAAAATTCTGGCGCCGTGCCTGCTTCCATCCGAGTAGATCACTCACCAATTGAAGTGAATTTCAAAACACACAAATCGTCCTCATTATCTGCTAAAGATTATTTGTTCAATTAGAAATTATGTGATTTTTATATCTGTACGTAAAGTAATAACTCGAACAGCAAACATTTGTATTGTATAAGGTCAAAATATAATTTAATCTAAACTTATGTTTGTATTGAGTAACTTCTTATCCACAATATGTATTAAACATATAATACTTATCGTCTTTACTATTTATTTTTTTTTAGATATTTTGAAAAAAAAACTGATTTTCTATGGCACAATATTAATGCATTGTTACATAGTTATATTAAGACATATTAAAATATTATGGAAATTATGTGATTTTTATATCTGTACAAAAATATTTAGCTTCAATAGATTTGAATTACCACTGTAATCTCCGCAGATCCTATTTCTCTAATTGATATAAATGTTTTAGATAGTTTTAATGAACTATGGTCTTTAAATCCCAAAACCATTCCTGATCCAGATAATTTATCTGCAACATTTTTGAAAGAATGTGCTTGTGTTCTATCATTTCCGATTTTAATTTTGTTTAATTTATCTCTCAAATCAGGTATTTTTCCTAGTATATGGAAATATTCTTTTGTTACCCCTATGTATCAAAATGGCGATAGATGTGATATTACTAATTATAGACCAATATCAAAAATGTCAATTATCCCTAAAAATGTATCTAAACTAGTTAATCATAAACTTTCTCTTATATTATGTAGTAAACTAATAACAAACGAACAACATGGTTTTCGTGTTGGTAAGTCTACTATCACTAATATGGTAATATTTACAGAACATATTTTTAATTATTTTTCTTTCTGTTGTCAAATAGATGTTATCACCACTTATTTCGAAAAAGCGTTTGACCGAGTAGACCATTCATTAATTATTTCTAAATTAAAATTATATGGCATTACAAATACTTTAATATCCTAGTTATATTATTTTTTATCAAATAGATTTCAAATTATAAAGATTGCAAATTTTACATCAGACCCTCTCCCCGTTACATCTGGTGTTCCTCAGGGTGATCACCTTTCACCATTACTATTCCTGTTTTTTATATTGTTATTATACTGGTTAACAGTAATCATAATTATTTTAATTAAATTGTTTTTATTATTTACATATCTACATATACAATATTACATATTTAACACACATGACCTAACACCATTCATCTCAATGAGCTGAACATGAGTTAGGTCATAGTGGACGACGCCAGTTATGCAGTTGAATGCATTTACCACTACGCTACGCCTTACACGAAATAATTGTTATAATTCGTATTTCTTTCATAAAATAAATCGATTTAAATATTTATAACAGGATATACGAGAGTTCATTGAAAATTCGCCAAATGGAATTATTTACTTCACGTTTGGATCATCAATAAAAATGTCATCATTTCCAGACCACATAAAAAACGCATTTAAACTAGCTCTTGCGCGCCTCCTTCAGAGGATATTGTGGAAATATGAAAATGAAATGGAAGGCAAACCGGAAAACGTGATGACGAAAAAGTGGTTCCCACAACGTGATATTCTTTGTAATAATCGGAGAGAAGTTATTAAGTAATACATTGTTGTTGTTTTATACCTGTAAACGGGAGAACTGGTTTTTTTTTTTTAGTACACCCAAATATCAAGCTATTTATCGGGCACGGCGGAATATCCGGCGTGTTTGAAGCTGTCGATGCCGGACTTCCGATGTTAGGATTTCCACTTTTCTACGACCAACCGAGAAACATTGCTAATCTCGTGGACGCCGGAATGGCCATTTCACTCGACGTGATGACTGTCACCGAAACTCAGATTTACGAATCGGTTGATAAATTAATCAACGATAAAAAGTAAGAACAGCAATAATCATTCAAATAGGAAAATTTAACATAAATACAATTTTTACCGACATTGCGTACGAAGAGTTAAGTAATAACTCGAACAGCAAACATTTGTATTGTATAGGGTCAAAATATAATTTAATCTAAACTTGTGTTTGTATTGAGTAACTTCTAATCCACAATATGTATTAAACATTTAATACTTATCGTCTTTACTATTTATTTTTGACATTTTCATGTCTTAGCTCTGGCACATAACCGTAAAAAGCGTTCGTTACAAAACCGTTACAAAACCGTTACAGGGGTAGGAGATAGGGGGTGGGAGATAGGAGGTAGGATATAGAGGGTGGGAGATAGGGGGTAGGAGATAGGGGGTGGGAGATAATAAATATGTTGTACGTTCAACGTTCAAATTAGAACTAAATAATAAATTCAAAATAATTTAATTCTCTATGTTAAGTTACTTTTGGCCAGATAATAAACACTACAATTTTAGCCAGAAACTTGATTGTACATAATTTTTTTATCTCCTTGGCCTAATGTATTCGGTACTTCAACGAGACATGAAAATGCTATTTCTTGGTTGCAGACTCGGCTGAAAAACTGTCTTTATTTCTTCCTTTTCTTCTTTCTTCTTTTAAAAAGCCGAGTCTGCAACCACGAAAGAGCATTTACATGTCTTGTTGAAGTACCGAGATAAATAATTTAGAGTAGTGGTGGAATTATAAATAATGATATAGTATATAAGGAAGCAGTAACAAGCTAGTATATTAAAACATCAAGTTCCTGGCTAATATTGTAGTGTTTAATATTTGGCTTTAAACAATTTATAGAGAATTTGGGCCCTTAAACTGTTTTGAATTTATTATTTAATTCTAATTTGAACGTTGAACGTACAACATATCTCTTATCTCTTATCTCCTATATCTTTCCCTATCCCCTACCCCTATCTCCCACCCCCTATCACCCACCTCTATTTTGTTACCTGTTATCTCTTATCAGGTAACAGCGTAACGCTTTTTTTCGTTATGCTTTTTTGGTAACGCTTTTTTTCGGTTATGTGCCAGAGCTAATTCCCAACCCCACCCCAACCCCATCTCTAATTTTTCTTCACGCTTTTGGTAACGCTTTCTTCGGTTATGTGCCAGAGCTAAGACATGTAAATGTCAAAAAACTGATTTACTATGGCACAATATTAATGCATTGTTACATAGTTATTTAAGATAGAATTTAATATTATGGATAGACTTAATTTAATTACTTCAGATCATGAATTTGCAATCAAAGTTAGTCCACCATGGGAATGGGTATTAACTAAAAAGTCGATTAGGGTTAGTTGCCTAAATATCAGTTTTTAACCCTGTGTTCCTCTTCAAAACATAAAAATTCTAATACTCATTAAATCTTTTATGAATAAAAAATTTGTCTTAGATATTATGAAACTTCTTATTTTTTTTTTTCATTTGTTCTTTGTTACTTACAATTAGGTACTCGTCTAACGCTAAACTAGCTTCCAAGCGTTTCAAGGACCGCCCAATGTCACCTGGTAAAACAGCCGCTTACTGGACGGAATACATTGTACGACATAATGGTGCGCAACATCTAAAGACAAAAGCATTCGATCTCATGTGGTACGAATATTACCTTATAGATATACTATGTCTGATACTTGTCACGATTTCAGTCATTGGCTTTATTATTTATAAATGTTTACATGATGTACGAAAACAATTTTTATTTAAGTTAAAGTTCAAAACAGAGTAATTTTTGTAATTAGCTTCTTTATGATTTATAAAATAGATTTATTGTTTATCAAGTATTTATATAACTACACCAATATTGAAAAAAAAAATTATTAATTATATTTTTTGATTCTCTAAAGAGTATGTCATAAAATTGTATAACTTATTCAAAAGTTTTAGAGTGCTACAAATTTATATTACAAATAAATTATGATTTTAATTTATTTAAATTTGTATTCGTTAAATTTAATACAGTAGGAAAGCGGTATTTTTTTTTCTTTTACCCTTATTAATATACAGGGTGTATAAAAAAGAATGATGGGGTTTTTGCTAACAAGTTTTATTTTAGGAAACGCTGAAATAGACATTTTGTACCAGCGTTCCTCCTAATTTATTATCCCGATTCAAGCACTTAGTAGATACTTAAAGGGTCAAGGAACTCGCAATTGTAAATAAATCAAAAGTATGCCATGGTGACGTATCATATATAATCAGTGATTTATTAGTTATTAATATATAATAATTATTCGAGTTCGAATATTGAACATAACTTTTTAGTTGGTAATATATTTTCAAAACAATCTGGGTGTGATGCCTCTACAAACGAGTAGGTATGTTTTTTGTACTAGTATAGGAAAAACTGTTTACTTTTTAAACGTATTCCATTTGGTTGTTTGTCTTTTTATATGTTTGATCTATTTGTTTGCACGGTAGTAGATACTGTATATTTACATAAGTTATAGCGAATACTTATTTTATACCTCCGAATTTCACTATCGTTGTAGTGTTTAGAACGATTTTATGGGTTATTTCTTCCCTAAGGACATGGAACTACATGCAATTAGTGTTTAACGCATAGAAGTTATAACATACAACTAGCATTTTTAATTTTAGTTAAAATCTTCTGTTTTTTTAATTTTATTTTAATGCGCTATTATTTTAACAATATTACAGCACAACAGTTACGAATTAATATACAATAATAATTGTATTTTAACAACTATAAAAAAAATAAAACATGCGAAAAGTAACAATTAAATGAGAAATTCAGCTTTGGAAAGAAAGGGAATTATGAGGACGATAACATTGTTTTATCATACAGAATTTTTCACAACGTCTGAATGATTGTCGCATTGCAAATAAAATACGAAAAACACTTGTTGCTTACACACGACCTTTTAAGTTTGAGAATAGTGATATTTTACAAAAACCTACGTTATATTATTTTTATGATTAAAACCACTATGGCTTAAGTAAGCCATAGTGCAGATAAGTATCTGCACGATATACAAAAGATACAACACAACATTAATGTTTTATATTTCTTTCAATCGACAACAATTTTTTTAGAGGATATTATGATCTTCTAAATTTCACCCTCTGACAATCAAATGAGATTTCGTAGTCTTGAATGAAATCTTACTCAGTCCAATCGAGGGCAAGTCCTTGTGCAATGTTGAAAAATGTCTAATATTATATATGAATAATGCCGGTGGTGGACGCTATGTGTTAATAGTTTGTTTGGCATTATCGTTCGACGCTGTTTCGAAAAAAATCGTGTCGTGGTCTGTACCTTTTTCCAAAAGCACGTTAAACTTATTTGGTGAAGAAAATACTTTTGTTTTTTTCTAAACTATTTTGGGAGAAGTAGGTTAAGAAAGGTAGTGACACTTACTTGCCAGTAACGGTATGCCCATATTATTCAGGACCCAGCCCGATGACCTGATATGTAGCGACCTTTCAATATACCGACAACGGACCTAGTAAAAACAGACGGGTTGACATATTGACCGATGAAACCGGACTAAAAAGGTGATTTAAACACTTTAAATATGAATTTTGAACACTATTACGGACTTACAAACTTGTAATTAAGTATATGACCTGTATATAATCATAATATAAGCGTTTTAAATGTGGATAGGAGGGAAAGTGCGCGCAGATAAAAATAATACTACCCTCCACTTTTCCTCCTGCCCGAAACTTCAATAACTTCAAAAATAGTTATCCAAAACTGTTGTCGATTAATCAAAATTTTTAGTACATAATTGTCAATAAAAAAATGAAATACATGCGCCATCTTTTAGCTTTAAAACTAATTTTGACAAATTGTTTAAAAATGCGAAGTTGTAGTATTTATTTGAACAATATTTACTCAAAAACAAGTAATCTATTGAAAATCTTGTTACGTTATGTATGTGTTTAGAATTTAGGGCTCTTGATACCCGTTTACCTGGGTATTACCCAGGTAAGCAGGTACCTGGGTTTTTCGGGTATTGATCGGGTATGCAAACAGTGGGTACCCGTTCTAATATAATTACCCGGGTTTTTCCAAACTTTGCATGGAATCTTTCTATTTCAGGGTAAAATACAGGGTGATTCTTTTATCACGAACCAGTCAATATCTCACAGGGTTTAATAAGAAATTACAATTTTTTTTTCATTTTTTTTTTAAACAATGTGATCCCAATTTTTTTTTTGTTTTTACCCCCCTCCCAACTTAGATTGTTTGATAGTAACTTTTGAAACTTAAATAATAACGTATATATTTTATTACCTTAATAAATAGAGAATAATGTATTACAAATTTTGACTGGTCGATGATAACCAGTTTCGGATAACTATTTTTGAAGTTATAAGAGTTTAAAAGTTAGGATGGGAAGGGAAAAGCGGTTGGGAAATGCGCCCAGATAAAAATAATACTACACTACACTCCACTTCGTTTTAACGGCAGATTTACAATTGAAACCTTTGCGTCAATAAAGTATCTGTTTATACTTCATATATCAAACTGATAAAAAAATTACAAAAAAAGCGAATAAGACGCAAAATAAAATACTACTAACTGTATGTTGTATACACACATTTCCGTTTATCATGGCACATTTTATAAAACGAAAATTCAAAGCACATAATAAAACCTCATACATAATCGCAGTTGAAAACCCAAATATGGCTTCTGGTTAAAGAACTCTGTATACGTTAGAAAACATTCGTTTTGATCGATAGCATTTTTCGATTTACAAAAAAAAAAATATAGTCATATATGTTTTTACTTATTTATTATATTATGAGTATAATATAATATAATATATTCCGGTTAAAAAAATACTCCATAAAACCAAGTTTTGAACAATTATGAATGGAATTTTGAGAAGTAGGCTGGAGGAATTGCCATAAAATTGTTGTTGTCATTAAAAACTAATTAAGTATTTACCATACGTTGTGTAATTACATATTTTAAAATATTGCGAATGAAAAATATAACAATATTATACATTATACGGTTATTTTAGGCTAAAATTTGTAATCCCAATTTGATAAACGGGTAAAACCATGTGGAAAAATAGTTCAAAGATTTTGGTTAAAACCAATTTTTTTTTTCGCTTTTTCTTGATTTTGAGGATGAAGGAGTTGATTTATTCTACTTCTGACTAACCCAATTACCATCTGCATACGATATAGAGGTGCTACACTAGTAATTCGGTTCACAGGCAAAACAAAAATTACCTAAAAGTTAGTTTATTAAGACAACAAAATGTACCCTTTTTCCTTAAAAATCAAGAAAAACACCCGAAAAATACATAATATCTTTAAGCTTAAGATTACAGAATAATGATTTTTTTTAAAAATAGAGTTGAATTAATTCCAAATTTGTGTGGAATGTTTTTCAGTCAAAGTACTTTTGAGAAACGTTAACAAATTGCTAAAATATTACAAACCAAACCTGTTAAAAAGAGTAGACACTTTTTCTTTTTTCTCTTGTTCGAGCAAAGTTTTAGAAGTAGTAACTATGGTCTGAAAATTTTACTAAGGGTGCATCTAGTATGGGACTATAACATATAGAATTTTCTCAAAAATCCGAAGAAAAAAATGTTTGCATCAGTTAACAGGTATCCGTAAAATATATTTTAAATATGGTGTTATTTACGATTTATGAACAACGGCCCTAAATTATTATAGAAATACGATTAACCCTAATCGTATTCGCCCTTATACATAAACCGGTCAACTGGCGTGTCAATGACCTTGAACAACTGGAATATTAGAAAGGTATAAGCAATTAACAAACATTGCACATCATTATAAAACCAATAGCAAAATAGAAATAGTTCATCTTGTTTAGGGAAAGGGCTTATTTTATTTTTTGGCCATCAATACATTTCGATAGTATTATACTATCTAAAAAAATATTCCATACAAAATTTGACCTAATCGGACTATTGTCAAAAATAGTTAAATTCTGTGCAAAATTGTATTCGGTTGCCTCTTTGAGAAAGTTATTAACTTTTTTTGTTTATTTTGGCCACTACATTTTAGAGTATTGAAAAACAATGGAAAATATTACAAATATATATATTTTGATATTGGATTTTCACAAAAAATACTAATTTATTTTACAAATTCTATTATATAATTATATTCTTGTACCCGCGGTGACAATACGTGGAAAAAATTAAAACATATTGTTGTAAAAATAAGACATAAACTGTACTACAACATAAATTGTATTTGTGTCAAGAAACTGTTTTTTAGAAATATTATTTGTTTTGTATGGAAATTTTTAGTCGTCGTCGAAGCTAGACCATCAATACTTACAGCAGAAAATATTAAATACATTTTTATTTTCGGTGTTCATAAAAAATTACCAAATAGGAAAATTCTATGATTTTTCGAGTTTTAGTGAAAAACCATTGCATTTACCGTAAAATTACATATTATATTTATAATGGAATATTACATTTTCTATAAATATTGTTTTCATCCATTTTTCCAAAATGCATTATTATTCAAAAAAAAAAAAAATATATAAACCATAACTTTTTTTATTTATTTAGAATAACTGGTTTTCTACGGTTATTTAAATGTATTTGATAAACGATTAGAAATCTAGTAGAACATTTTTCATACATTTTATACAAAATTTAATTGCCTGCAAAATAGGTTATAGGGAAAAAATGCATACGATCCACCATTATAGCTTCGATGCGGAACAACGATGCTATTGGTTTTACAATGATG